TGATTGCATCGACTCATTGACTCAAAGGCAGTCCCTCACACTAAGCATGCTTGCAGCGACAGTGGAGAGGAAAAACTCCCTTTTAACAGGAAGAAACCTCCAGCAGAACCAAGCTTAGGGTGAGCGGCCATCTGCTGAGGCCGACTGGGGTTCAAGGAGACAGAAGCAGAGATAGAAAAAGCAGCTGTAAAAGGCGGCCCCGTCCAGCCAGGCAGACAAACAAATGTATGCAATAGCTAGCCTCACAACTCGGCTTTTCAGTTCTTTTTCATGTGTGGGTTCTCTCAGGTATTCCAGCTTTTACCCTTCTAAAAGCTAAAAGGATATAATCTATTCAATTATCAATTGGTATTATGAATTAGTATGGTTTTATGCATTAGTTGTGTTGGCCTATGATGGACTGAGAACATGTCCAGAATTTACTCCACCTCTCATCCGTAGATCACTGGAGAACTTTACACAAAGACAATATCCTGAGTAGCACAATCACGTTCAATATCTTGAAGAAATATTTGAAAGGTTCATGTTTTAGGGTGAGATGACAATAAAGAATAAGGCTGCAATCATTATTCCAGGTTTTGGGTGTGAAAAATGTAATTTATTATGAACCTTTTAAAATTTCTACAAATTTTAACTTGGAAATAAATGTTTTCAGGCAAAAAAAAAAAAAAAGAAAGAAAAAAATAACACTACTACTGTAGTTCTTAAGCTTATTGGTGGTAGGATCATGACATGAGCATGTTAGTGATCCAATATCCAGCTACAATTATGTCAGTGAAAAGAAATTGAAATTTAACCTAATGCTGGTGTTCTATGTTTTGGTCTGAATCACCAGCATAGAATTAATTATTAATACATTAATCATTTACCCAATTACCCAACCTTTTGCGTTGCACTTGGTGTATTGCTTGGACGCAGCTTTTGGACCATGGCAACCCATTCCATGAAGGTCTCTGCTCTCTGCTCTTGAGCTAATCTAAAGGCTTCATGAAGTTTGAAGGCGTGAAAGGATTGACTCTCCACACTTCAGCATCCACTGTCCCACTCCATCAGTTTACATGGCCTACTACCCCCTGGCTGTGTTGCTGTCATTTGCAAACACTTCAATTTTTCTATGATACAGCTAAAAGTTGTGGTAGATGTAGGAGCAAGGACATTTCCTGACTGAATTTGTTTCACGTCCTATCAGTTCCAACCTGGAATTCTCTAAGCTCCTGTGAGTGACCTTTTCTTTTCACGAATGTTTGTAAAAAACAGTCTGCATGCCTTGGTGCTTGATTTAATACACCTGTGGCCATGGAATTGATTGGAACATCTAATTCCAATAATTTGGATCGGTTAGCAAATACTTTTTTTTCAAAGGGAAAGAAATTAGCTGGGGGGAAACAATTTTAGCCTTTTTGTTTTGGACTTTAGCTTCTTTTTATCTACTTTTAGCCCATTATGTATCAAGAGTATGTTTTATTTTTATTTAGGCACTTAAAACCTAAATCAACTAACATCCTATGAAATCAGCAGGTGAATAAATATTGACCAAATGTAAAATCTGTTTGCTTTCTGTATTTGCTAAGCAAATACTGTGCAAAATGTGGTTTGTGGTCCAGCAGAGGTGGTTTTAGACTAAATCTACCAGAGAGGCCAGGATGAGGCCAGCGTTTTCTCATATGGGCAAATAACAACTAAATGAAACAAAAAGAAAACAGAGCAATAGTTTCTTTACTCGAAACTTCCTTTATTGTGAGACGCACAAAAAAAGAGCTTTATCTGCTCCCAGATAAAGCAGATAAAAACTGATCTTATCTCATCTGGACTAAAGATGAAAGTACCACATCTTAATTTTTAAATTACTGTTGAAATTACCTGTAAAAATAAAGAAAATAAATAAATAGATCAAGGGGACCAATCGATTACATTTCTATGTCAACTTAAATCATCATAACACATTTATTTTGTATCATATTGTCAATGCAGATGTCATAACAGGGGCCTGGACCAGTTATAAAGGGGCTTTGGCCCCTTCTTTCTTAATTGTAGAACCGCCCATGAGGTCGGGTCCAGTTAATTGGAAGCTTTTGGACCAGAAATTTGTCACAAAATTAAAAAATAAAGTTGAGGTTATTAGTAACTATCACATGCTGGGTATATATATATATATTTTTTTTAGACATCTGCTTGAGAGGTGCATATAAATAAAAAAATCTCATTTTTTTGTGCCAACAGCTGAAAATGCTGATGGAGCAGCTGAAGGAGATCACCGGGGTCCAGGACCAGCAAGTTCTCTTCAAAGCCCTGAAGGTAACATAAAGTCAGCAGTAATAACTGTCATAGTTTTATCTAAAGCTC